TGCCACACCCTCTTTCACAATTCATTGATAGTTCTCTCTTACATATCATTATATATTACCTATAACCAATAGAAAGTCAATGTTTTCATCTATCAAATGATGTATTGTATAATGTTATGTCAATTTCATTCAAAGTATGAACATCATTCACATGGGAAAGTTAACGACTAGCTTGGATGAACTTGTAACGGCTCTTGTTGCATAGTCAGAAACCCAGCAAAATTTTAAGAGGTAAGTGAATTTGTCTACATTCTTTGGTGCATTATTTAATTAAATAAAAATTATTAAGTTATTTACTGTCTACAGTATAAAAAATTAGGGTTAACTCTCTTCAAAAACCCGATAACAACAAAAAAGAAGATTGGGTAAGTACTTGATTTCTTGTTTTTCATATTTATATAAAAGTAATTAAAATCTAAAAATATGGATCTTTTGAAGTAATTTAAGATTAGATTAAGTAAAATAAATAACAATATGAACTTAGACCTATTTAGGATAAACGAATGTAGTTCCATGTAACAATTTCAAGTCATTCTAGAAAAAAAGGTAATTTAGGTTTATTTCGAATCTTTTTGTGGTTACGAGGTCGGACGAATTGAATGATCCAGTTTTGAGATAGGGTAGAGAAAATAACAGATAAAATATAAAGTTTGACTGTAAAAAAAACGTTTGAAATGCATTCAGGAGGTTTTAGGGATTACACAAAGGAAATTTAAGATTTTTGAGAGGAAGAAAAGTATTTTTAATTTTAACATGAAAATTACCTATTCAAAACAAATACCCAATATATTTATGGACAAATCTTTATTTTATTTTATTAAAAATACTTCACTAAAAAATATTATTTTTTGTATGTGAAATACTGCCAAATTGTGCAAAGATATACATACTATATTAAAGCTAGTATCAAGACTATAACGATTTTAAACTAATACAAAATGGTCACAGGGTTGGTCAATTTGACCAAGCCTGTGTCGACATAGAGTTAACCCTCTTGCTAATGGTCACATTAAAATTTTAATTAAACTACTTTATTAGCATGGTATACAAATAAACTTGGCATATGAATGTAGTTAATAAATCAAATTTTAATATTTTCTAGGTATCCTCTCTTCTCTAATGTATTTACCATCCCACCAAGAAGTACAAAATTTAATATAAATTACTCTTTATAAAACTGTTATCAGTCAGGCAAAGTATAATTTTTATAGCCTTTATTCTTGGTTAAAGAGCCATAAAACAGAAAATCAGACCCCTCTTGCCATGCCCACCTGTCACATCCTCCCTTTCACAAATTGCCAATAATTCTCTCTGACATTTAATACTATTTTTACCAGTAGAAAGCCAAAGTTTTAATCTATCAAATTATGTATTATATTACACTGTTTCTTGTACAGAGAATTGTCTATTTCACTTCCAGTTCAAACTTTATTCTCAAGGTAATTTAGATTTCTTTTTTGTTTTTTTATTCAGATTACGAGGTCGGTCAAATTGACCAACCTCAAATAGAGTTAGGGTAGAGAAAATAACAAATGAAATAAAAGTTTTACTGGAGGAAAAAAAAAACGTTTCAAATTTATCTAGGAGCTTTAGAGGTTATGCAAGTAAAACTTGATAATTTTCAGATGAAGAAAAGCATTTTTAATTTTAAAAAGAAAACCACTTTGCACATCAAGCAGTCAACACTTTGACTCCATATATTCACAGAGAAATTTTTAGTAATATTTCATTAAAAGTTTAGATTTTTTGTCTATAAAACAATCTTAATGCTTAGTGAAAGCTTGCAAAATTTCATGAAGAATATATTAGAAGTTATAGTATTAAAACTATAAAGGTCAATTTGAGGTCACAAAATTAGCCGATTCAACCTAGCTTGTAGCGAGAGAGTTACCACAGAACATAACTATACTCTCAATAATGAATTCCCAAAACACCACCTTTCTCAAAATAATTCTCAAAAATATTAATACAGCCCTCAGCCCTTTACAAACAGGAGATCTGTAATTTTTTTGGGCTTAGTTTCCATAAAAAGGGGGAACTAATGAGCAAACCCCCAAATGCTCCACAATTATAAGTTATTTTCTAGTTTTCCAACTTTTTTTACTTCATAAACTTCTGTGTTTTTCTTTTTGTTGTCATATTAATTTTGGTTAATTTTTCTTGAAGGTAAAAAATCTACACATGGTTATTCTGTGTAAATGACAGTGCCCTTGGCTCTTAATACAATTCTGTCAGACTTTCCTAAAATAAAAAGTTTCAAAATATACATTACCAACTTTCCAATAAAGACAAGTAATTTTTTAGGAATTATAGAATAAAGGAAACATGAAGGATATATTAGTTATACAGTTATTTTAAATAAACATCTAATACCACTGACAAATTAATTGTGTTGAACCACGTATGTTTCTCTATGTCATTTAGTCATCTATTTTACTTGATTTTCATATAGTGAAAGTAATGTTTACTTAAAATTATTAAACTATAATTGAATAATAAAGATGCATTATAATTTCTTCCTTCATAAAAGTTCGGCGAAAATGTGTTGGAAGAATCAGTATTTCAATTTTAGATATTAAAACTTAATTAATATGAAACTTTAAATCAATAATAGAAAATTAATTTTTTTGTGTATCTAGTACAAGAAAACTGCAAAAACCTTTTAGTTTCCCACCAATAACCAATATATATATATCACTGAATTTAGTATGAAAATAGATTTTAAGCAGTATTTGCTAGACACAATCACCTAAAACTACTCTGAAGATACAACTTGAATAATATTAACTTAATGTATATATATATATTTGGATGTAATTTAACATTTTACTTAAATTGTTTCTTTTTATTTGTTCAGATATATCTTGAATACCAAAAATGTGATTAAAGGTAAAAATTGTTTCTTTTAAATTGGGAGCACTATTTGAAATTTTATTATAGTTATGAATATATAGATTTTTTTAGGAAGACTTATGTTGTTAAAATAGGATTAACAATAAAGAACGTACATATAAAAAATATGGAATTTAATTATAAATATACAAACATCTGTAGACCAAGGTGTATATTTAGTCATGAAGTACCACTTCTCTTGTACAACAAAAATCTTATTATTCACTGTCTCAGGGCCCCGAGGTGTCTTAATTTGCCACTGACTGTATTGAATTAAATGAGACTTTTATTCAATTCGTAGATACTTATACAAAATACAGCAGTGGCTACAATAATAATATACACACTCCATGAACTTCAAAAGACAAGCCTAAATCTGTATTTATTCTTTAACTCAACAAAAACTTAAAACACTCACCATCTGGGATTTGTATCTTCTCTGTATCAACTGTCCTGTTTTAGGATCTGAAAAATTTGAAATTGGATTAAAACTAAAAACTTTGGGTGAGAAAAATATGTTTTAGGGTTTCTTCTGTAATCTTGTAATGATGAAGTACCTAACACACATGTACACCTAGATTAGACATAATATACAAGTATACAAGTTTTAGGATATATACCATTTAGAATCATATTAGAACTAAAATATTTGGGAGAAAGAAGACGTGTCAGGGACACTACTGTAATCCTGTAATAATGCCATATCTAACATATATGAACAACTAGATCAGATGGATACTAGAAGTGGGCAAATTAATCGATTACTTACGAACAGTGATTAAATGATAAATCTCCACTCATAAGTAATAGAATAACTGTGGTTAGTGTTTCCAATTAGTACTGTTTTTGATTATTGCAATTAATCAAAATTAATTGATTATTTGATTAATGTCATGAAAGTACAACTAATTGAAAGGAAGGAAACTGGCTGGCAGCACCACTGCCAACTCTCTGGCCACTTAAGTGTTAAGTAAAAGCTATCTAATCATTGTCACACATTTTGAACTGCTGACTAAAGAAAAGGCAACTTACTTACGAACAGTGATTAAATGATAAATCTCCACTCATAAGTAATAGAATAACTGTGGTTAGTGTTTCCAATTAGTACTGTTTTTGATTATTGCAATTAATCAAAATTAATTGATTATTTGATTAATGTCATGAAAATACAACTAATTGAAAGGAAGGAAACTGGCTGGCAGCACCCACCGCTAACTCTCTGACTACTATAATGTTAAATAAAATGTAAATTTGCTTCTTTTTTTTACATTGTGTTATGTCTTTAATTTTATTTGATAACTGTATTATTTAGTGTTGTATAAGCAAGAATGCAGCTGGGGGAGTGGGTCTCAACCCCTTCAAATTTTTAAAATGAATTAAGAACTATTTTAAAATTTTCTTTAATCAGGTGTGAATCTAGGGGAGGGGATTGAACCCTTCTCCATATTTAACAGCACTACAGACATTGATGTAAATTTACAAATATTGCTAGTAAAGATCTAGTGAGCAACTGTGTAGTTACAGAAACAACATTTAAAGCTCCAAAATTAAACAAATTTATAAACAAGTAAAATAATGCTAAATTGTCTGGAAAAGTGTACACTGCACAGAGTATTGTTGCAATAGGTAACTGATAATGAATAAACCTTCCATTGTTTCTAAACTAACGCACAAATTTTGGACTTTATAGAGGTATCCAGTATCCTATATACCACTGCATGTGTACGTGGTGTCAGCATTAGGCACTATTGCAAGGGGCATCCTTTACTGTGCATTTCACAAGGTTTTAGTGACTTACATTCAAACTTTTATTAAACTACTTTTTATTTATATTATACCAATTAGTATAGCATAAAATCTTAGCTAATAAACTATGTTTTGATAATATATAAGTTTTTAATTTTATACAGCAATATTTTCAAAAATCCTGAATTTACCCTAGTGTTACATGTGACACAATTTACTCTAGGCATCTCCTCTTCTATATTTTATTCACCACCCCTTCAATAAGTATGAAATTAAACGTAATTTACTCACTTTAAATTCGTCATTGCTCAGACAAACCACAATTTTTATAGCCTTCGATTCTGTATGGTTACAGAGCTATCAAATAAAAATCACAACCCTCTTGCCACACCCACCTTTCACATCCTTTCTTTCAGGATTTGTTAATAGTTCTCTCGTACATTTAATTCTATATTATCTTTAACCAATAGAAAGCCAAGGTTTCATCCATCAAATGATGTATTGTATAAAGTTTTCTGGATAGAGAATAGTCAATTTCACTGTTAGTAGAACCTTTGTTCCCACGGGAAAGATAACAACTAGCTTGGATGAATTTGTAATGGCTCTTGTTGCATAGTTAAGACAGAAAATTGTGAGAGTTAGAGGAAATTGTCTACTTTTTGCATATCATTAGTATATGTTTATTGGTGTATTATTTGATTAAATAAAAATTATTTAGTGCATTACTACCATTAGTACTAAAAAAAAAAAGTAGGGTTAAGTGTCATTGAGAATTGACAGCAAGAAAAATGAAGATTCAGGTAAGTACTTTATTTCTTATTTTTTGTGTCTATTCTTTATTTATTATTATAAGAGTAACTAAAATGTAAACATAGAGATCTTTTTAGGTTATTCAAGGTTAGATTAGGTAAAATAAATAATAATAACAATATAATAAAAATGTTTCATGAGGCACATATTCAAGTAGCTCATGGGTAACTTAATTTGATAGCATAACATGATCTCCATGTTCTCTAAGTGGTTTACAACTTATAATGGCATGATTAATAGTTAAACATGGTTCAAATGGTAATAGAACAATAAAATTTAGTTGTAAATAGATGTATACTGTTACAAGACTAAATTTACTTAGGATAAACGAATGTAGTTTCATGTTACGATTTGCAAGTCATTCTAGAAAGAAAAAAGGTAATCTAAATTTATTTCACTTTTATTTTGGTGGTTACAAGGTCAAATTTACCAACATTGTATGAAGTTAGGGTAGAGAAAGTAACAGATAAAATATAGTTTTAGTGAAAACAAACATCTGAAATGTACTTAGGAGGTTTTAAAGAATACACAAATCAAATCTGAGATTTTTGAGATGCAGAAAAGTATTTTTAATCTTAACATGAAAATCACTTTGTACACAAACTATTCAAAACAAATACTTGATATATTCACGGACAAATCTTTAGTAAAAATACCACATTAAAAAAACTGGTTTTTTTGTGAACAAATACTTGTAATATGTACTAAAAGTCTACCAAATTTTGTGAAGATACACACACACACTGTATTAAAAGTTATAGTATTAAAACTATATACAAGTAAAAATGGTCCCGTGGTTGGTCCCTGGGACTGACCCCATATTAAGAGAGTTAATGTCTGTATGTTAACTTATATGGAATAATGTTAATTGGAAATTAATTCCTTTGATACAATACATAAAAATAAATGTAGTTGTTATAGTTGAAAATGCAGATTTTGAGATAGCATATGTTAAAAATCTGCAAGTTTTGAAATGTTAGCCCAACCACTGAATTAATTATTTTAATATGTTTCCTAAACTTCATCTGATTCTCGCATGAAAGCTTATACTGTTTTGATGTTTGTAAAATTGTTCGTTGTTAATTATTTTGAAGTTTTTATCTATATTTGTGATGGATTTAAAAAACAAAATCCAGAAATGTTGGTATTTCAAGATTTCTTTGGTATTATTATTTTTTTAATATTTCTTATAATACTTTGATTTCCACCTTATGAATCATTTTAATAATTGCAAAGAGGACATGTAGTATTACTAACATCACAAGTTTTCTTCAAGGTCTTACCACATAGTAAACATTGTACTGTACTTCTGTCTTTCTAGGATCAGAGTGGATTTATATATCATCAGAGTGGAGTTATATATCATGCTGTAGCAACACTGAGAAGAACCTTTTATAGTTTTATCACATGAAAACTAAGGACAATTATGTTTTATCAAAGAGTTAATATAATTAATAAGTAGTGTACTAAATTCAGATTTCCCAGTTCTTTGTAACAATGCTATAGTCTTTAAAAACATTGATATTGAAATGAAGAATTAGTTTACTGAATAATAAATATCCCACTTTTCTGTAACAATCTGTTACGTCTCCGTTTGTTAA